AACATGTTTTTGGCACAGTATGTTACGTACTTCTAGGATCCTAGATTAAGTGGTACTAGTATTTCTCCCATCTCAGTAGTTCGTGTGCCCACATGTTTTGTAACCGATTATAAAAGTAATTTAAAATTATCCCCATACTTGGCGTGGCATGACTCCCAAAGTCGTAAGACAGTGAAACACTGTCATGAATCCTGCGGGACCCGTAACCAAGAATGATTTTGCTGGCCAAGACCAGCAGCAATTTACCCTGTACTTAATTAATTAAGCACCACGTCATGAAGACGTGTTGGGGTGCGAAGTTATGGTTCCACTATCTTTAACCTCGGCTCTGGATGGAGGTGATTTGGCAAATTCACGCCCCTGTCGTCATACCGCCGGAGAAATAGCTTCCGGTACCCACTGGCTATGAGGTTGGGTGGACCCTGGGAACGGTCTCTTGCTCCCTGTCGGAAATTGAACCCCAATTCTTTGGTCCCCCAGCCCGGTGCCTTGTCTCTCTAACGTCTGAGCTATTCCAGCTACTAACCGCCTCTGTGGTCTAGTGGTCAGAGTTCCTGGCTACAGATCCGGAAGTCCGGGTTCGATTCCCGGCGCTACCAGATTTACTGAGAAGTAGCGGGTATGGAACGGGGTTCACTCAGCCTCGTGAGGATAACTGATGAGCTATTTCAAGGAAATAGCGGCTCCGGTCTAGAAAACCGAGATTAACGGCCGTGTGGATCCGTTGCTCAGGATAGGGACCAGTTGAGGGCTCTTGTAAACACAGTAAGGAACCATCGGGTTCCATAAAATGCTGATAAGTTCTTGAGTAAAGCTGCACAATTGGCAGCATTTCAAGAAGGGCTCAGCTCTATGAGTGAGTGAGTGAGTGTCCTTTGAAAATTCTTCAGTGGACTGACGCAAGTGAATCTGCGTTGAGACCCTGTAATAGGTGCTCCACCCGGTTCCTTACATAGAAGAGTCTTATTCCCTTCAGAATGTCACAAAATGCTTTCCACCGCCACTTAATTAAATTCTCTTGAGCAGCTCCATTAGGGCCCGGATCGCGTATCGTGTCATACTTGCAACGTCGTGTCTGCAGTTAGATCGACAAAGAGCCAAGAGATGGCGACGTAAGTGGGAAAATGGTTCCACAAAGAGTGCCCTAATTACATATGTAGTTAATGAAGTACTTCTCGCAGTGTCTAAGCTTATTTTACATAAAAGCTAAACGGTGTAATGGGAAATTTAATACTTTCTTACCTCATTAACCCAGATATTAATCTATTATAGATGTCGATAAAAAGGTAAAGTTGTCCCTGCGCTTAATTAATTAAACACTATACAGTGAAGACACATGGGGGAGTGTAGGTATGGCTCTACCATTCTTCACCTCAGCACTAGATGGAGATCAGTAGTCAGTTTCACGTCCTGGCCGCTTTACTCCCGGGGAAAGATCCCCAGGTACCAAATGGATAAAGAGCTTGGTAGTTTCCCAGAGTCGGTCTGGACGTTGTGGAGTAGAGACATTTTTTGCCCCTGTCGCGAATCGAAAACCGGCCGTCCAGCCAGCAGCCCGTTGCCATACCGACTGAGCTATCCCGGCCCCTGTGCAGACGACGGTACAAATATTTTACTACAAAATTAATAAGGTTTTGCTGCACTGATATGATACAAACAGCATTTCGGTTGTTGCCTCTACTCCTGTCTGCAGGCGAGTGGTCAGCCTCACACCCCGCCCGCTTTACCCCCGAGGAAGGAGCCCATGTACACATTGTATAAGAGGTTGGTTGGGCCTATGAGCCGATCTGGACAAAGTTGAGAGAGGAAAAATCTTGACCCTACTGGGACTCGAACTCCAACTCTTCGGTCTTCCAGCCCATAGCCAGTCGCTATACCGAATGCGCTATTGGAAAATAATCCTAAGAATTTAAGATTATGAAGATGAAGGATTCTGTCTTCTCGGACACAACGCCCTGTAGTCCGTTGAATATCATCCGACGTTTCGGAAGAACATGTCGCTTATATCTTCAGGATTGAAAAGTACTCGTTGTTTGCTGCCCGGTTCAGGCTGGTTTCTTGTTTGGCTTATTCTTCAATCCGGAAGACAGAGGCGACGTGTACCTTCGAAACTTAAATTTTCAACGGACTCTATGACGTTCTAACCCAGAAGTTAGAACTCTTCATAACCACCGCTGTGAGGGCCTCAGATCCTGCATTTGTAAATGAAGTTCCTAGGCTACTATCGTAAACTGCTAAAGTAGAAACTATCTATCTATCTAAGGCCGCGCCATAGCTCAAGCAGTTAGTCGTTGGTTTCCCACCGCAGCGACCCGGGTTCCATCCCGGATCTGGTCGAGTATGATCTGTGGTGGACAAAGTGGCGCTGGGGCAGGTTTTCTTCGAGTACTTCGGTTTCCCCTGCCAATCTTCATTCCACCAATTGCTCCACAATCACCCTCACCTATCATCTGGGGCTGGTACAATAGGCCAGAAGTGGCCGCAGTGCTTAGTCCCACCCCACTAACATCTATCTATGTATTCCTGTTACTCCAACTTGGAGCATAGGGCATCAGTGAAACACTTCGTTTCACTTCAGTTTGTTAATCTTAAGACAGTTGGTAGAACTCCGTAGACGGGGGATCAGCCCGAAGAATAGTAGGGGTGCAGTACATATAAAGTTTTCCTTTTACATGCTTCTTTTGAAGAACAAATCACCCGATATAAAATTGTAATAATATTTGTTTTGAAAATGAATATGTACTGTCATTATGAAGCTCATCCGTATGCGTACGTTCCACATAGATAAATGAGTAAATCAAATGATGAATATATTGGCGAAATGTAGAAGGAAATGAATAAATGAAATAAAAATAATTTTATAATTGGCTTGGGATATTGCTTATAGTATATATGAACAGATTCAGAAGTCATACAGCCTGCTTGAACTGGAACGCTTGTTTTATTAAATCGCCTTTTCGAATTCCACTCGAAGCAGACGGGTATTTTCTTTTTCGCTCCCCCACCCCCCAAGTTTGTATAGAAGCCTTGCGATGGCCAGTTTTTGTTGAGGTAGTTCTGCCAGCTGTCTAAGGAGGAGATTCGTAATTGATTCGGAATTAGAACTGGCGAGATATCGGACCTGTAATTATAGAAGGGGAACGAACGAACGAACGAACGAACGAAAGAGAAGCAAAGCAAAGTTTGCCATCCTACCTACCGCTGCACCTTTCAAGCGTAATAGGAAATGGAGGTAGAGCTCTACAAATTCTTAAAATCTGTTTCACCCAAAGATCCGCCGATAACCGCCGAACCAGAGACTGGGTGGGCCCTGCAACCTAAGTTGGGCATGATGAAGAGAAAAATCGTACTCCTCCAGGAAATCGACCCCAGTACCCCAGAGTTGAAGAACACTAATTCTAAGGTGTGGATTGAATAATTATGGAAATTAGTGACTAATGAGTAGGTGCCTAGGATGAATGAGAGATATGAATAAGGGGCGACAGGAAGGACCGGTTGCCTTTATGACGGATGCTATAAGGATGTGCTCGTGTGAGCTGAAATTGAAGGAAACAGAGACACGAATACTTTAGCGAACAGGCCTACCAGATGTCATTGACGTCAGATCATTGACGTGTAGAAGTTAAGTAATATTATCGGATGTATATATAAGTGATGGCCGGTCACGGTAGCCGAGCGGTCTACGGCATGTACTGTCTTCGCTCGCTTGGAAACCGGGACCGTGGGTTCGAATTCCACTCAGGGCATGGATGTTTAGTTTGTGTGTGCGCATTTTTCTGTGTTTGTGTACAGGTAGAGGCCTTGCGACGAGCTGATCACCCGCCCAGGGAGTCCTACCGAATGTGTAAGATCTAGAAAAACCGAAGTGAACGGAGAAGTTCATGGAGGTAGGCCTAGGCCCACTGGGGCTCTAGTGCCAAGGAAAAAAAAGTTATGTAANGATTCGAACCAATTTCGTCTCACCTAGAATGACATTTAGAGCAAAATACAATTAAGTACATTTATGCGACTCTTGAAAGGAAATGAAAAAAACTCGAAAATTTTCGTGCTGTGTGCATGTGACCTGAAAGTAATATTGAATTAGCACTTTTTTATACATCTATGCCAAGGCGGTGGGCACGCGGTAGCGTAGTTGGTTGAGGGGCTATGCTACAAGCCGGAAGGTCGCGGGTTCAAGTCCCGATGAGGTCATTGGATTTTTTTCAGTTGACCTAATCCTTCCAGCCGCACTATGGCCCTGGGGTCGACTCAGCCTCTAACAGAAATGAGTACCAGGAATTAATTAAATAATTTTTGTGGAGAGTAATACGCGACCGGCGCTTAAGGCTGACAACCTTACCGCCATCTTTGAGTCGATTGTCTAGATAATGTGGGAACCTCAACGTCTCACAACCCTATGGGCCTTCACGGCCTGGTACAGGGATAGCTTTACTTTACTTTTTTTACTTTACTGTGCCAAGGCGGTTAATTTAACGATACTTGGCACCTCCCGTATCCGAAATTGTGTGGCAGATATAGGAATACTGCCAACAGCTTTAGGTAACCGGCCTTGTTACCGGTAGAGGGCGGCGTTAATTTTCAATATGTTGTAGGATATGAGGTTCTCGCAGCGGCGGTTATGAAGAGCACTATCGTCTGGGATATAACGCCGTGCAGTCCGTTGAAAGTGAGCCAACGTTTCGGAGGAACATATGGCCTCAATCTTCATGTTCAACAAATAAACCAAACAAGAAGCCAGTGTGAAAGCAGGTGGAAAGCCGAGTACTTGTCACCTACTTTCACGCTGGTATCTTCCTTCGCTTACTCTTCAGCCTTGAAGATTGAGGCGATATGTTCCTCCGAAACGTCGGTTGACTTTCAATTGACTACACGACGTTGTATCCCAAGAAATAGTGCTATCGGCAGTACGTTGTTCGCTGCTGACAGTAAGGCCCAAAAGCCAAATCAGCAGTATTCATCCAGGTGAATTCCCCATTGACTTCTATCCTGTATATGTGCAGGAACTGGTTTCGAAGGGGAAACATCATAACTGGCGCAGTGTGGCAGCGTTTGTCGTCATTGGAACCATAGTTCTGGTGCTTATCATTGTGGGCATAGTGTTTCTGGCTGGAGGATCGGCAAATAATAAGAGAGCAGAGGCGATCATAAGTGGAGGGCCCCTGTACAATGGATCGAGCATCTCCCTAGAAGATGTTGTGGAAGGAAAGTTCAGTCCCAAAGGGTTTAATGGCACTTGGATCTCAGGTGAGACCAGAAATATTGTAAATGGAGCCCTCTGGCAATAAATTAGGTCAGCTTAACATGCTTCATATCCACGGTATGAATGGTGAAGGTGAAAAAAACACCATCTCCTGGATTATTATGCCATGTAGTTGATCAGAAGTTCACCAAAGTTTCAGAGAAACATAATTCTAAAGAAATGGTTTCAGAACAGGCCAAAGGCCTAAATTTTGCGCTTGCTCATAATAGATTAAATCCATATTGTCTTTTTCAGATACTGAATTTTTCTACAGAAATGAACAAGGAGATGCTGTCATATTTGATGCCTCAACAAGAAGTTCAGAGATTATTATGACCACTGAGTTTCTGGTAAGGACAATTAAGGTTGGTAATAAGTTGTTACATGAAATCTCAAATAGGTTCGCAGCTTTGGAAAACTTAGACAATGAGGTGGATATTAGTAGAGTTTGGGAAACCATTAGAGACAATATAAAAAATTCAGTCAGAGATAGGCTAGGTTATTATGAAATGAAGAAACATAGGCTGTGGTTGGATTAAGTATGCTCAGAATTATTATATCAACGGAAAGGAGCCAAACTGCAGTGGTTACAGAATCCAAGCAAAATAAATGAGGATAATCTGAACAATATGAAACATGAAGCCAGCAGGCATTTCAGGAATAAAAAGCAGGAGTATCTCAAAGACAAAATGAATGAACTTGCAAGGAACAGTAAGAATAAAAACATTGGAGACCTGTATAGGGGAATATATTGTGACGTATAGATCCACTACCAGGCAATGACTCAATACACACCTTCCAACAGAGACAGATTTTTTGGTAAGCAGCCCATTGTTAGGTAAACACGTTCCAATGAATATACAACAATAGAGAACATCCACTGTTAGACAATGGACATGTTTTCTATGAGGTCAAACCAAAGTCTATGTAACAAGAAGCCAACAATAATTGATAGTTCAAGATGATCCGTAAGTGTGTGTGTGTGTCTCTCTCTCTTTCAAGTCTCAATTCTGAGACAGTAAAATATGGTCGCGAGTCCCAAGGGACTCGGACCCAAGAAAGACTGCGCTGGCAAGGGCCAGCAGCATTACAAAAGGCAGACCCGTCCTCTCATCAGAGAGGGCACCCCATTGAAACAAGACCAAAACTGTCAAACGGTAATAATTAATATCTGGTCGTGAGCCCCAAATGGGGCTCAACACCAAGACTTACTGACTGACTGACCGTCAGTCACAATGTGACTCTGACTCTGACTGACTGAATTGATAGTTCATTTGGAAGTTAGAATAGTTCCAGTGGAGTGTACGGTCAGAAGAAGATCAAATGCGTCAAACAGTGAGTTGTAGTCATAGATCAAAAACCAGGGAGTTGGCAGTGAAAGGTAATAGCAAGAAAGCAATTAGACTGTGTCAAGTAGACTTGGTGTGTGAGTTGAAGACTGTACATGTGCTGTAGTTACAGTGATACTGTGATAAATCTGTTGCCAGGAAATGGATAATGAAGAATAGTGTAAGCACACTAAGAAGATTCAGTGTGGAGTGATCAGCAAGAATGTTATAATTAGTTGTAGTTATGACTTGTGACTGATCAGTAAATCCAATTACCAAATCAAAACCCATCTACAGTCACTAATACACGTGACAGTATTAATTTGAGATGTTTTGCAGTTTCAGTAAGCATTTCTTAATGTGTACATATTGATTTGCAGTTACCAGATGCACCATTCAATTTTGAACTGTCAGCAGATCGCAAGTATCTCCTAGTTGCTCACAGTTATCGAAAAGTAAGTTACTGACTGTTGGTTAGTCTTGTGTCTGATTTGTTAATATCTTTTAAGAATTTAGAATATACCATCTTGTAGTGTAGAAAACTTTTCATTTCAAGTTCACAGATTATCATCACACACATTTTTAGTGAAAGGCTGTTGGATTTAAAATATTTAAATCTTACATGGTGTCTAGTGCCAGGAGATCAAAATTCTAGTCCATAACATCCATAACCTAGACAACACCAGTGAAACAGCACAGGCAAAGTAAGCAGCTGCCTAGTGCAGCACATTTTATGAACCAACTATTTTCTTCTTTTTATTTTGTTAAATGAAAATTAATTTCTGCTGATCTTGTGTTCATATCGTGAGTATTAATTGACAGTAATCTTAATATGTTTAGCAAAAATGTAAAATGCTTTTAGACTTGCACAGGCCCAGAACAAAAGAATTTGATAATATTGTGTTAGATATCTGAAGTTTTGAAGCAACACCCTCTTTTTCGTCCACATATTCCAACTGCATCACTTGTCACCAATTCATCATTACAACATTTTGTAGCACATAGTAGATATATTAATTATTTCTTATAACCAGGACATTGTACTGGGATATCCATGTAATGGTGATGTCATTTTGTTTTATTGTATCAGTTGAAATCTGAGAAATGGCGTCTGAGGGAGTGGTAGTACAAAATATTTTATTCTTATTCCAGATCTTCAGACACAGTTTCCTTGCCAGTTATGACATTGTTGACTTACAAACTAGGTAAGTGATCATATATACCTGAACAAAAGTACAGCTAATTATGCATTGAGAAATATAAAATATATTGTCCCTTTAGATACGTTAAAGCTAATTTATTTTGCTCATATATATTCTGTCATAAGTTATGGTATAATTTTTTGGGGTGGCTCTTCTTGTGTTAGCAAAGTTTTTATATTGCAAAAGAAAGTTATTAGATTTATAACAAATTCTAGACCAAGAGAATCTTCTAGGGACATTTTTAAGAATTTGGAAATAATGAAGTTCTACTCTCAGTACATAATTCATTACTTGTATACACAAGTGATAATAAACATTTAATTTTAACAATGAGATTCACAAATACAAAATTAGAGTCCTCATTAATTTATATTCAACTGCAGTTTTGTTCAACTGAACAAAATAGAATAAAGGTGCGTACATATCAGGTATTAAAGTTTTTAATCATCTTCCTCAGACAATAAAAGTGTTGGCTACTGATGTGAGAAGTTTTAACTCTGCATTGAAGAAGTTTTTATATCATCATTCTTTGTATTCCTTGAATGAATATTATCAACATAACTGGTCATAAGTGTGTAAATTTGTAATGTATTTAATTCTGTTTATATATGTAATTTAAATAAAATTATATTAATTCAAGTTTTATAGTAAGTTATATTTAAATTATTTTATTAAATTTTTTACTTTATGTTCTTATTTATGTTANAAGAATTTGGAAATAATGAAGTTCTACTCTCAGTACATAATTCATTACTTGTATACACAAGTGATAATAAACATTTAATTTTAACAATGAGATTCACAAATACAAAATTAGAGTCCTCATTAATTTATATTCAACTGCAGTTTTGTTCAACTGAACAAAATAGAATAAAGGTGCGTACATATCAGGTATTAAAGTTTTTAATCATCTTCCTCAGACAATAAAAGTGTTGGCTACTGATGTGAGAAGTTTTAACTCTGCATTGAAGAGGTTTTTATATCATCATTCTTTGTATTCCTTGAATGAATATTATCAACATAACTGGTCATAAGTGTGTAAATTTGTAATGTATTTAATTCTGTTAATATAGGTAATTTAAATAAAATTATATTTATTCAAGTTTTATAGTAAGTTATATTTAAATTATTTTATTAAATTTTTTACTTTATGTTCTTATTTATGTTAATCGATTAATGCAAGTGATTTTGATTATGTGACTTGTGTAATTTTGTATATGTATCTTGATATATCTATCTTCAAAGGGACCATTTCCACATCCTAGGTTTGTTACCTGTATGGATATATGGAAAATAAAGGAAATGAATGAATGAATGTCAATATATAGTCTGAGATGCTGGTAGCATTGTAAAATAAAGCATGATGTCCTGTGATTCCAGAAATAGCATCCCACTTGAAAATAGTGAGGTTGGACCTGAGCATAGAATACATCAGCTTGTTGTGTGGGCTCCAGAAGGAAATGGGTTTGTGTATGTGCATCGTAATAATATTTACTACCGGCCAACTGCAGCCAGTATATCTGAAGTTCAGCTGACATGATCTGGCATTCCAGGAGTTGTTTACCATGGCATTCCTGATTGGGTTTATGAAGGTATGATTATGGAGAAAACTTGTGTTATGTTGTTTCATGGTCTGTCTGCCATATTATTGTTTATTTGATCCTTTTACAATTCTATATCAACTTCTCAAGTTATTAATATTGAATATGATGTGTTGTAAAGACCAAACCTTGATTTGAATCCTGATAACTCTTTTCTAGTTTGGGTAAAGAATGAAACTGCCTGAAGATGGAATTGAAAATAAAAAGTAATATTTTCTGGTAGGTGCAAAATCCTCCAAGTGGAAAGAGGTTCAAAGAGAAAACAGATACAAATGGTTGTGTTGGCAAGTCAGGCTTCAGTTTTTGTAGAAATATATTTTTGTAGAGGAAAGTGGCTAATTAGGTAGCTTATGTGCGCTGTTTAGATGCAGAAAGATTTGGAACTTTGACTTCAAGGGATTTAATTCTTTAGGAGCTATGGGAGCTGACAGATGGTGGGAGTTCTGGAAACTTACACAAGAAATCATTGTCTAAATTAACTAATTCTGTGTTCTCAAATTTTAATTCTTTGATGTTGACAAGAAGGAGACAAACGTTGTCTAAGCTCAAACTACACTGTCTTAAGTGATTTTGGTTATTGATACAATATATTATTCTATTCATTAATTTTATTTGTTCCAGAGGAAGTCCTCAGTTCAAATACAGCTCTATGGTTTTCACCAGACAGCAAAAAGCTTGCATATGCAACATACAATGATAGTAAAACAAAAGTTATGTCAATACCTTTCTATGGCCTACCTGGCAACCAGGAGTACCAGTACACTCATGCAGTAAATATTCGTTATCCTAAGGTGAGCAAAATGTTAAAAATGCTCAAGGAAAGGGGATAAATTTTTCAGTTCACAAGATGGAGAACTCCATCCTGCATATGCCTTGAAAGGAAATGACTTGCCTTCAGTTTAATCAACTTTAATTTAACCTAAATATTGACCAATTTCTTTTTCATATTATATTGAATAAAATATTAACATTTTACATGTACATTATGATATATTATGGTGCTGAAACTTCATTTTATTACTCATAAACCCTTTTGTCATACACATGCTATATAAATATATAATACATATCAGATAGAGGTAAAGGTAAAGTTATCCCTGTGCTTAATTAATTAATCACCATGTCATGAAGATGCCTGTGGGAATTGTCATGTACCTTAGCCAGTCTTAATCTCATTCAGCCTCATGCCCTGGCCACTTTGTCTCCAGGGAAACGGCACATAATATTCCCTGTATAGAAGGCTGGATGGGCCCTAGAAGGAGTCTGGATGCTTTTAATAAGAGAAAAATCTCTTCCTTCTGCTTGGAATTGAATTCAAATTCGTTGATCATGCGAATCATCACATAGTCTCAAGGCCTGTTGGCAAATAAGGTATTGCACTTATGCTGGTTGGATGTTAATATTCATATTAGGCTTCTACATTTATGCACTTGTTCTAGAGTTTCTGCCAGTCTTTGCATTTCAAGGTCTTTTTTAATTTGTGGAAAAGAAGTCAACAGGGCCATATCTAGTCACTTTTGTAACGCTGTGTTTACCTGAAATAATTGCTTATTCTGCTGCTGAGTGCGGAGGCTCGATGTCATCGCAAATTTTTCATTCACAATATTTCCAGTTTTAAAGCTGTGTAAGATGCACTATATCCTGTAGGTATCTCAGCACTTGTAAATAAATACGTATAAATGCTACGAATAATCTGATCTTGAGCATACTCAAAGAAAACAGTCAACATCCCTTTGAGGAATGTGGTCTTTTGGGATATGACACTATGTAGTCTGAAGTTTACAGATGTTTCTAAGGAACCTGCTGTCTCATCATGACGCATCATGACGTTCTGCTGTATTGGATGCAGCTAAGTGTTAACACATTGTGTATGAATGGTCGGTGAGATGGTGGATAATAACAGTCCATTCTTCAAAATAATTTGTTTCTCCTGTAACAGTTTTCAGTTAAGCCTGGAATTTCATTTTCACTTTTCAATCATAGATGGCAGGAGGATGACTTTTCTGTATCATTCAACTAACTTCCAGCAGTTGGTTTCTGTACATGTGTTTCTATTCTTTGATTCCCAAATTCTTGTACTAATAGCTTATGAGAATGACAGGTTCTAAGAGCTATTGTACAGATTTAAAAGGTCATTGCACACACAGCAGCAGGCCATTTAAGTGCCCACACAGTGGTTTAATTAGGAACAGTGATATTGAAAACTAACTACAGAAATTAGTCATTCCAACAGGAAATGATGTCTGTATTTTTGTACCATTCCCATCCATGCCACTTGTGGGACAATGTCAGAAGCTATACATTGCATGATGTTGCCTTTGTTTCAGCCTGGGACACCTAATCCAATAGCAGGGCTGAGTGTGATTGATTTAGAAGAAGCCATTAAGGGTAACCCAAATAGTATACAACTACAACCCCCACAAGACTTGTTACACAGGTATTATATTTCCTAGTACTTAAATATATTGAGATTTGAGGTTTCCACCGAAGAAAAGGTTAAGATTATGGTCTGCTGGGGTGGGATTCTATGTGTGTAGTGTGTAGATCAGCGATAACATTGTAATTGCATAGTTCCAAGTAGTGTGTATAAGGTGTCAATAAATCCTATCATCAAATCCATACCCCCCTTTACAGTCACACCTCTGAACTGTGACAGTATCATATACAGGTACTGAAATTCTTATCCAGAAAGTCTGGGACCTGAGCTGAGCTGGCTTTCTGGATTTCCCAAATATTTTGTTCTAGACCATATATGGTAAATGTACCTACCTGACATTTTGCATTTAATCATTTCATGGAAGCACCTTTCTTTGATTTCATTTCCTCCTTCTTCTTTACGTTCAGTCCCAAATTCCTTTGTTTAACCCTTCAACTAGCCTCTGGACTTCCTGGTTGCCTTCTAGGTGTGTCTGTGATAATTCGCTTGGGTAAATAAGCACAATAATCATAGAGAAAAAATGTGTATTTTACTACATGCCAATTAAAGAAAGAAGCCATTCTGCAGTCTACACATTATTGCTCCCAGCTTGCCAATTTAAAAAATAGCTGGATTTGCAGATGCCAAATGATATATTTAGTACATACACAATTTCTGTACCTATCTTGCTAACACATCTATTTTCTGCTTTTGTGCAGTGCAAGATCAGGCTTCACTTTAAGATAGTCCCTTATTTGATTTTCAGTGAACCTATTCTGAGCGCCGTTAACTGGGCTACAGAATATAATGTGGCTGCTGTGTGGATGAATCGTGTACAAAACATTGCAAAGGTTGTGTCTTGCAGTGCGTATAACTCACCCTGCTTAGAGGTTAGTTTCTTCTCTTACCTCAGCAAGAAATTATGTACTGACATTTCTTAGAACTACCCATGCTATAGCTTAGCTAATTTGATGTCAGAATCTCATGATGGAAGCCTTGCTTCAAACTCAGGACTCTCTGTTTAGGATTTGTTGTGGGATAATTGTGTTTTGGAGAGAAGTTTTTCTTTGAGTACTTTCTCTCATAGTGATCATTCCACCTGAGATTCATACTTGCATATCACTGCCCATGAATTGTCCAATTGATATGACCAGCTAGCACCCTACAGTAACATTTAACCTGGCACATACATGAACCGGAAGTAAATAAATTAACTAAATTATTTGTGACTACTTAGGATGTCTGAACATCTTTGAATTTCTGGAGTACTCCCAGACTTGGGTGTGTACATGTGCATGCATGTGTGTATATGGAGTGAAGGTGTTAAGTTCCAGATTGCATGAACATAGAGCCATCATATTTATTTTCATGGTTTTGCAGCTGCTGTCTCTGAGAGAACCATATGGTTGGTTGGATCTATTCACTCCTCCCCTTTTTTCGCCAGATGGTACCAAAATGGTGCTGATTCTTCCACAAAACCAAGGACCAACTAATGGTGCCTATCGACATGTGAGTGTGGTGCAGCAAGGCCGAAATATTGCACTTACTTCTGGGAAATTCACAGTCACTGAAATCTTATCTTGGGATAGGGCAAGGAACTTAATGTGAGTACATAAACGTGCTACTGGAACTTCCAGCCTTAACAGTGATATATTATGACTGAAGTTATTTGTATTAAGTACCTATTTAAAATGGATGCATAATGGTGATGTAATGTCCACTATTTTCGTGTTTCATATATAAAATGATTAGTATTATGGAATAGGTTTGGCATAGCGGTAACACTCTAGACTTGTAATCAAGAGTTGCCAAGTTCATATCTCAGCTGGAACACCAACTGTTCTGAGATCTTTCACAATTTTCTTCGGTTCATTCAGGCAAATTCCAGGACACTACCTCAATTAGGTCATGATCATTTCCTTCCAAATCCTTTCAAATTCATCATTCATTACAAAACTCTCTCACTGATACTATATAGTCTCAATGCTGACAGTACAATTAAATAATCAACTCAAAAAAAAATTAAATATTACAGAAATCAGATTTCCTTTAAATATTATCACACTTTCCTCTCACTGGTTATCATATAAATCATGGATAGGAAGTCAGTCATGGTTGGAGGCTGGATGAGCTGTTTCAGACTGTCTATGGGCTTAAAATTCTGTGAGAGAAATTCAATAATTGAAAATATTGTTAAGTAGCCATCAGCTATTAACACTGTCTAAACATGCTTTATAGATATACTAAATGAGATAAAAATGCTATAATTGATAATAATTTGGACATGATAACCTGAAATCTGTTTAGTATTCTTATAGAATTAAGACAAACACTGAATTTGGTGTGGAGTGGAAATGATTTAACTTCCTCAGACCAGATTATAAATACACAAAAATTGTAAATACTTGTATTTGCATTAAGATCTACATTCTATCCTATCCTTCCCTCCCTCTTTTCCCCTCTCTTCCCGCGTTTTTACAGTGTGTGTGAGAAAGTAAAAAAAAAGTCATAAAGTTTAATGAAGAAGACTGAATTTTTTACAGACCAGAAGCAGCCGTGTAACTCTTGGTGTTAATGAACTCCTATTTTGTATTATGATACCTGACTGATACATTGGTGTTGATATATGGTTAACAGCACTGAACTCTCAAATGAAATGTTTTCCGAAGTTCCAGAGATATATTGTGTATCCAAAAGATTGGCTGACTTTCACAGCATCTTCACTCAGTTACTCATGATGACTGCACTCTATTACATAACATTCATTATTTCAGATACTACTTGGCAACAGAAGAGAAGGATCCATCCACGCTTCATCTTTACAGTGTGTCTGACAATACTCAAACAGCTCCAAATAAGCCATTGTGTATTTCATGTGGCATACATACAGTTGCAGGTGACTCACAGTGTCTGTATGTCAGATCTACTTTCAGCCTGAACAGCAGCTACTATATACTTACATGTACAGGACCTTGGGTTCCTGAAGTTGCAATTTTCAATAAGGTACTTACATAGTCATTTGTCTGATATATTTGTTGTATTATTCTCGTCATGTGTCACTTGCTGAGAACCATATCATCACTTAAAAGTAAATGGAAAGTAAGAAATAACTTCCCAGCATGTGACTAATCAAATTTGGTAGTAAATTATTCAATGTTTCTTTTTCCATTACTTTGTTTCCAGGTTTTAAATATTTTATAATAATATGTCCTTATGGATATTACTTAAATCAGTGTTTCTCAAATATATAATACCTGAGACTGACTTAAATGTTACAGAGTGTGACAGACCTTAGCACTTGGAGAAAATGTGGAATAATGAAAATGTGAATTGCATTAAGACGACAAACAGTACATTCGTGAAGCCTTAAACCTTGTCATGATTCTGTCCTGGATCTGACAGTCCATGTAGCCTGTGCAAAATTGCTTTATTCTCTCTCTTAATGCTTTACAATATGTAAAAAAAGTAAAGGTATCCTTTTAACAGGCTGTAAAGGCCCACAGGGTTTTGAGATGTTGAGGCTCCCACTTTTTCTAGAGAATCGGCTCACAGATGGTGGTGAGGTTGTCAGCCTCACGCGCCATCCGCCCTTTACTCCCAGGAATATTCCTGGTACTCATTTCTGTTAGAGGCTCAGTCAACCCCACCTCATCGGGGTTCGATCCCACGACCTTCCAACTTGTTGCATAGTGCCTCAACCAACTACACTACCACATGCCCCCTTTACAATACTGTAGTGATGATAAGTACCATCTGCTTTAACATTTACAAATTCTACATTTTCCCTTACAATATATTTATGAATAACAAAGTCTTTGCAACTGAGATGCAATGTGTTTGTCTTTGAGATAGGAACTGAATTTGTGGTGAATAGACCCATTGCTAAGTGGTGACTCTGTAAACAGCGACCGTTGCTAGATAGTACCTGCAAGATAAATGCATGCAACTATAGAACAACAGGGTTATGCAACCCATCTATAGGCAACAGATCTGTAAACACCTACAGCAATAGGGGTACTGTTGGAAACAGTGTTTTATATTTGGTCCATGCAAAGTGGTTATAAAGAAGAGTTCAGTTGAGTAAAGTGATATGAAGTAGCTGGTTGGTGAGTGAGAGAGTTCAGTTGTCAGTTCAGTTGAAAGTCAACCTGGTAAGAAAAACTATGAGTTTGGTGTGAAATGGCCACCAGCCTGGGGTCCAGTTAGTTGAGTTGTCAGTTGACAAGAGTTCAGTATGATCAGCTGTGGCAAGAGGACCTGAGTGTGGAAAGCTGAAGAATCTCCCTTAGTAGAAACCATTGCCAGGCAACGGCTAGTGGATACTGTAGTAGAGTGAGGATGCTAGTCTCTGTGTGTCAGTGATAAGTGAAATGTAGTTCTGAATGGTGTATACATGTGGTCAATAAATCCATTCACCAATCCATATCCCATCCATAAGTCACGCACAGTCCCTAACAAGTGACAATGTTATATAGAAGAACTGCATGTTTCAGAGAGTTAATTCTAGATTTTCTATGGGTTTGAAGATGAGAAGTCTGTATTGGTGCAAGAAGCAGTAGATGATCTTGACAGAAACAATGAGTTTATCCATATTATTATGTCTGTAATTAGTAATTCCTTAATGTATTATAACATTCATTTCTTCATATTGGTTGTACACTGTATCCATTTTAATACTTTAAAATTAATATAAAATTAAAGAATGTTAGCCTCTAAGAAAGTATGTTTGCAGGACCATGTGCGGCTAGTGGTACTGGAATCTAACAAGGAAGTGAGACAATTACTCCAAGGAAAAGTACTTCCCACTACCAAGCGGCTTGAAGTGTCTGTTCCTGGAGGCTTTAAAGCACAAGTGCAACTTTGGCTGCCGCCAAATATTGACACATCTGGAAAAACTAAGTACCCCCTGCTGGTGAATGTGTAAGTATGTTTTAACCCATTATATCAGCTTCTTCCTCAAATGTGCTAAGCTGCAGTCTAAGAATGTAAATCAGAGGCTGGCCCACTTTGCAGCTGATGTCTGCTGCTAGACGGTGACCTATAAATTACGCAGTATAAGGATATTTAATAACATGCTGTTACCATACTTCAACTGGATCAGTAGATGGAGAATCAGAACTAATGAAACAGAAGTTTGTGTTCTGTTTATAAAAGAATAATTAATCCAGGCAAATTTCACGTCATTAACACCACAGTGCTAAATTATAATCAAAACATCACATTTTTACACTTCATACTTAAAGTACCTCATAAGAATATTGCTTTTTTATTTCAGTTAGAGTTTAAGAACTTTCCATTGAAATAAGATAAGATGATTTCACAGTGGTGGAGATTCTACTGTGATCTTCTGATCTTATGACAATACATAGTCTAGCAGGTGGGTACCAGTGGCTCAGAGGAACATACAGCCTCCATCTTCAGCATAAAACAGCACTGCAATTTCAGCATCCTGAAGAGAAGCTATCAATGAATGAATTATTCTGTCTTCAGGTATGGTGGTCCTGACTCTTACCAAGTCACTAAGCGATTCAGTGTCGACTGGAGTACATATCTTACAGTGAACAAGAGTATCATTTATGCAGCCATTGATGGACGTGGCTCAGGACTGAAGGGCAACAACATGTTGTTTGCTGTCTACAGAAAACTTGGAGGTCCTGAGATTGATGACCAAGTCAATGTAACAAGGTTATGTGTCAGCAACAAAATTAATATAATTTTCAGTCAGTAATGAGCAGCCTGTAACTCTGCAGATTCTCATATACAGCCTTCTGTTTAATTTCATGGAAAAAAGCTGAATATATCAATAAATACAAGTCATTCAAATGAAACACAGGAAACTATGTTTTTAATAAGTACAGGAATCTTCTGGGGGCACGCGATAGCGTAGTTGGTTGAGGCACTATGCTACAAGCCGAGAGGTCGCAGGTTCAAGTCCCGATGAGGCCATTGGATTTCTTCAATTGACCTAATCCTTCCGGCCGCACTATGGCCCCGGGGTTGACTCAGTCTCCAACAGAAATGAGTATGAGGAATTAATTAAATAATTTTCCTGGGGAGTAAAGCGCGGCTGGGGAGTAAGGCTGACAACGTTACTGCCATCTTTGAGCCGATTTTCTGGATAATGTTGGACCCTCAACGTCTCACAACCCTATGGGCCTTCACGGCCTGGTACAGGCATGTAATAGGCCATGAAGGCCCATAGGGTTGTGAGACGTTGAGGGTCCAACATTATCCAGAAAATCGGCTCAAAGATGGCAGTAACGTTGTCAGCCTTACTCCCCAGCCGCGCTTTACTCCCCAGGAAAATTATTTAATTAATTCCTCGTACTCATTTCTGTTGAAGACTGAGTCGACCCCGGGGCCATAGTGCGGCCGGAAGGATTAGGTCAATTGAAGAAATCCAATGGCCTCATTGGGACTTGAACCTGCAACCTCCTGGCTTGTAGCAGAGTGCCTCAAGCAACTACGCTACCGTGTGCGCCATCACTTGTGGTATATACATCAAATTTTGTATCAGCAATCTTACGGGGCTGTGATAACATTTTCTTACTCTGTAAAGCATAGCAGTTACTATGTGTACAATCACAATCACAAGAACTTGCCTCTAGTCCCTGCCCTGAGACAGATGAATCCAGCCCACACCCTCTCGTCCTACTTCTTTTAGGCCTGTTTTAATATTATCCTCAAATCTATACCTGTGTCTTCCAAGTGATCTATTTTCTTCAGCTTTTCTGTTCCATCATAGCTCAACTCATATATCTATGTTCACTCCTTACTTATTCTATTTGGCATCTTATCTCACTTGACTGCCCAGTTAGCCATCAGTCTTTCCAACATCTTTAGTTTTTGTTTTTTAGAGGAAATCTTTTGTTATCCATGCCAAAATTTCTTGCCTTCTTTCTTAGTTCCAAATATTTCGTACAGACTTCATCTTTTCTGCTTACAATCTGCTTTCATCTATCTTAATCGATGTACAAGCTCTTAAATCGTACATCAAAGTAAGTAACTATTAGATTATTAAAATTTTAATACTTTTTGTAGGTTTCTTCAGAACAATCTTAAATATATTGACTCAAAAAGAACAGCCATCTGGGGCTGGAGTTATGGTGGTTATGCAACGGGCATGGCACTGGCAAAAGACAAACAAAATGTGTTCAAATGTGGAATTTCAGTTGCCCCTGTTGCTGATTGGAATTACTATGGTAAGTTATGCTAAGACACCATGAGGCACAAAGGTAGTTGATAAATTGCTCTTATGTTGTAAGGTAAATGTAAAGTTTTCACTGTGCTTAATTAATTATTCGCAATGCCAGGATGTTGTATGAGGGAATGGAAGTATAGCTGTACCATTCTTAACCTTGTCACTAGATGGAATTATGTGGGCAGTTTCATGCCTCTGCTGTTTTATCTCGGGGGAAGGGCCCCAGCACCTACTGGATTGGAGGCTGGGTGGGCCCCAGAACCAATTTAGACACTTTTGAAAAAAGAAACATCTCTTGCCCCTTCCTGAAATCAAACCAAAATTATTTAGCTATCCATCCCATAGCCCATCTCTATATCTGTTGTGTTACAATCTGAAAGTAAATGGCGCATGGTACGCTGCACAAAGTTTCTCCTGTCTGTTACATGTGTCATATCTATTAAGAGAAATGAAGAAAGCAGTTTTCTGGGGTGCGGCGCCATGTAGATATTGTGTTAATAATGTGCATATATTTACCGTCTTTTAGCGCATACAGTTTCATTTGTCACTTCACACTACATGTTTCAGCATCATTCCGCCATCCTCAGGTGTATCAATCACGTTAAACCATTGCACTGCCTGCCATCAAGTGTCCATTTATAAAATTATATAAAATGTGTGTTCGTCGTTGTTCAATAATAAAATTTATATATTAAAACTTGTTAAGATCTATCATCTTACATGTCGTACATCAAACTCGTGTGTAATGCCATTCGTCCGCTATGGGAGTCGTTCTTCTTATGTTTTAATTGTGTATGTACTGTGTCTTATGGTGTGTCTTTCTTATGTGGCTGCGTACGTTGTATTGCCGGACATATGTGTGTGTGAGCTCAGGATAGTGACCAGTGGATGGCTCTTATGAACACAGTGATGAGCCTGCGGGTTCCATAAAATCCTGGGAAGTTCTCGAGTAGCCACACAATTGGCGGCTTCTCAAGAAGGGCTCAGCTCCATGAGTGAGAGTGAGAGTGAGCTGAACCATTTAGGCAAGAAGTTCACGGATACAAAACACTCCTAAAATCCACTTTCTTCGACATAGGAGTATCTAAAATGTTTATCGGTTAAAATATTCAAATTAATTTATCTGTACTGTGTTTGTGAGAATTTATAATTTGCTGATAAAAATACAAATTCTCAGTATATTAATCTTCTTCACTGACCTGAAGGGCTGTAGCGTATGCTAATATCACTCAAACAAACGTCTTCTATCAGCTGTTAACAAATCAGATTATCCATCTGCAAGTGCCAGGGCCATGTTTTAACCCTCACATTACTATAATAATTAGCTGCATTAGTTAATTCTGTTTGTTCTCTTCCAGTTCTGAATTATTCTCACTGATATAGTCATGTTCACCTCTTTCACCATAGGGGTCACTAGTATATTCAGATTTACTAAAACTGACACCTGAACCTATTTCCTCTAGGGATTCTAAAATATCTTGACTTAGTAGAGACTGCTTATATTTTATGGATATCATGATGCAAGTAATATGTTGATGACAACAGAGTAATTAGGTTCCTGGGTAAATAATTCAGGTCACAGGGATATCAAGTGCTTATGCATGTGTGGGATGTCAAATCCGGTGGCATGGAGAGACCAGCGCTGCAAACTATAACAAATGTTTATTGCTGATAACAAAATGTACAGATAAGCAAGGAAGCCATGCGTGCCTGATGAATGAATACTGGCGAAACTCCTTTGCAGCCAGCTAGCCTTTGCTAGTGATGGCGTTGATATTGTTGGCACAAAAAAGGGCCAGTTGTCTAAAGCTGGGTCGCTTGATGAGTGCACGTCAAAGTTCCTGTCGCAGTGGGCTAGGATCGGGGAGCTTCCTTGCATGGTAGCTCCATGCTCTTAAGCCAGTGGGTTTTTGGGCAAAGCTCTTGCAGTAGCAGGCTAGCCAGGCCAGCTGGCCAGCGAAGCTCCTGCCACTCCTGGCTGGTCTGAAGAGCGCTGGCGATTGTTGACAGAGTCGGCTGCAGTACTACTACTAGTAGACTTGCTGTTGCAGTGTTCTCTTGGTGTGAGTGTAGTTGTGACTAATGCTAGTGTGCTGGAAGTCCGCTTTTGTATACGTTTGTCACTAGGAGGTGTGGACCAATGTGTGTTGGAGCTGCCATGGTGGGCACTGATTAGGTAGTGCTTGCTTCACTGTGGAGGCTCCTACACATGTAATAAGCTGTGGTAGAAGTTGTGCAATGTAACACATGAGGTGTGAGGTTATAACAATGGTGACTATTAAAAATATGGTCTTCTGGGATGTCATGCCGTGTAGTTTGGTAGGTAAACAGTTACCATTATTTAGGAGCAGTGTACTTCCCTTATCTTCTTCTGTCTTGAAGATGGAGGCAGCAGTTTACTCCAGAATACTTGTACCTGCCTATGTGACTACATAACATCACATCTCAGAAGACCATAAGCTTCATGAAGAAGCATTGATGATTATTTCTGAAAAATGTCAGAAGCCACTTCAGAAAAGTATGTAGTAACTGCAAGATGGAAAGGTAAAGCTGTCCCTGTGCACAGTCAAACACAACACCATGTAGGAATATGGGACAAGCATACTTAATGAGAGTACCCATTAGATACAAGTCTGGCTTATCCCCAGAGCATGTGTGGACACAGTGAGAATGGAAAAATCCCTACTTTTGTCAGAAATCAAATTCAAGTTGTTCAGTCTGTAATATTGTCATTATAATAGAAATGCAGAGTTTGAATTAAATGTATTTGTCTGCAGCAAATGGTAATGACTGGGATAAAATTCAATATAGCACTTGACCAGTGCAGTGAAAAGATTAACCTAGGTTATTATATGTTTTCTATAGTATGAAACACTGTAATAGCAGATCTTTTTTAAAACAATAAAATGTGGGTTCTGCTTTCAGTATTTAAAGTGGCATTGTTTTACTGCAGTTTCACCTGTAACATAGCCTCTTAATATGAAATTACCAAATAAGTTACACAGATTTTGGGCAGGTCTGTATTTTTTACTTCTGCCATCCTGTTTTGTTGTTGATATTTTATTATCCTCTTTTCCAAGATACAATCTACACTGAACGCTACATGGGTCTTCCCACATTACAAGACAATTTGGAAGGATACATAAATTCAGCTTTAACCATAATTTCTCCCAGTATTCGCAACAAACAGTATTTGCTGGTTCATGGAACATTGGATGACAATGTACATTATCAGCAGTCTATGATGCTTGCTAAAGCATTGGAACATAATGATGTTCTATTCCAACAGATGGTAAGAAGATATTTTTAAATCCAAATCATGTGATATCTTACATTTACATCCTCTGTTCAAGATACTGTGTTCCCCTTCTTTAGCCCCTGACTATATATCTTAATTCTGAAATAAATTCTGTTGTATACACTATTTTAAATGCTCTCTTTCACATTATATTTTGTGTTTTCAGAGCTATCCTGATGAAGAACATGGTCTAACAGGAGTACGACCACATCTCTATCACACGCTTGGAAATTTCCTTGATAACTGCTTTAACTTACATGAGCAGACAGTTTAATTCCCCTACAAAGCAGACAGCTAAAATATGTACCCAGTTAAATTCTCATAACAGGAATTTAACCCACTATGTGGAGATAAAAATTCAAAATTAAGACATCTGAAGTTAGCAATGTTATTACAGTCCACATAAGTGTCTGCTACAGGTTGGACAGAACTACAGCATCATATCTAAGTGCAGATAAACAATCCTGCAGGACCTATGGTTCTCATGGCAATGTATTTTAAGATTATGGTCTTTCATGGTGTGACACCATGTGTTTTGGTAGATGCCAACATCCTGGAAGAACTTGCTACCTCCCTCTTCAGGGTGGTCCCTGATCTAACTTATATTTATATTCCCAGAGAGACATTGTAAAGCAAAAGTGATGTTAATCACTGCTTCCTACAAGCACATTGTTATGCCTGGGGGGTTACATTCCCAAATAAACTAAAAAAATTATCAAATAATTCAAATCATCAGTTTAATTGCTTGAAACAAAACACACAAACACTGGAAACATTAGACTTTGCTATAACCACTGGAGACCCAATTATTTTTTACTATATAAAATCACATTCTATTATTTTAGCCATCATTCCTACCTAATGTCATAAAAGTAAGTAAAGCTATCCCTGTAACAGGCCGTGAAGGCCCATAGGGATGTGAGATGTTGAGGGTCCCTCATTATCTAGACAATTGGCTCATAGATGGTGGTAAGGTTGCAGCCCTACACGTCCGCCACCCTTTACCCCCCAGGAAGATTCCTGGTACTTATTTCTGTTAGAGGCTGAGTCAATCCCAGGGCTGTGGCTGGAAGGTTTAATTAAATTGAAAAAATTCAATGACCTCATCAGGATTCAATCCCGTGACCTTCCGGCTTGTAACATAGTGCCTCAACCAACTACACTACCACGTGCCCCCACCTTTCTGTATGGTCATTTGTACTTTTCCTCAGGTAAGCCATAATTAATTGGGTGTAAATTACAAAACTGTTTAAAATAACCATCATCATCTTATACATGATGCATATCAGAGAAGAGCATAAGGTGAACTAAGTGGGTGACATTACATTCATTTGTTTCTGTTTTCATGCAGATATGTTCAGTTTTGTTCAGAATGGATTTCAAAATGAATGAGCATATGTTTGTGTTCAGAAAACTATACAAGCTGAGGATATGGGCTGCATTTTAAAAGTTTGTATAAGAAACATTTTTTTATGTGAATCTTCATGAAGTGAGGAGTGTCTCCCCAAGTTCAGATGTGATGCCTCGTAAGCTAGGCTATGCAGTTTCACATCCAAGAAGACCATACTCTTAAAACATGGAGAACCAATAATATGATTCCTGTGAAATCCTTATTTATATTCTGAATTTCTAATGAAAGCTGTTCCTCAGGATAATTTGTATTCAAATGACATGAAACCTGACGAACCCCATACCAGTAGGCACCATCATTCCTTGGCTTACTGGTTGCTACAGTAACAACAACTGTAGTATCCATATTGTACCTTGAATAATAGAGATTGGGATAACTGAAAATGTGTTCTACCAACTGTTATCACAACCTGACATTTTTCCCCTAGGCATGTTAAGATTATGATGGATACTGCCCACTGTTCAAAACATGCTGAAAATTACTCTGGAATTCTATCTACTATCATAGTCATAGGAACAGAAATGATTCCAACAGGTTTTGAAACATTACTTTCCATTTCCAAAGGCTGGAGTCAAACCATATTCTCTTTGTCCTCGATTTATATGTGTATAAGCTTGATAACCAAGAACTGGTGTTACCCATGGTCATTAAGTAAAGAAGAAAAATTTTATATCATATGATTCTGTAAAGATATATGACTGCCTGGTTTGTTATATGGATATTATTAGAATGCAAACAACTCCTTGGATATAGTTCAACATTTCTCAGACATCAGATAATTTTATTATGCGATTAATCTTGTAAAACAGTGAACAATATTTGAAGACTCACTCTTCATTTACCATTGGATTTGCTATATGTTATGCAGACATAAATGTCATTGCATAACTTAACATGACAGAAACAGCTGTTTGAGGCTGTGGCACTAACTATCTTATATTATCCCAGTAACTCTACTAAGTAAAGTTGTGAAAGATTATTTAAAAAGCTAATACCTTTAATTATAAAAGAAAATGGATCAGATTAGGGGAACATTTTCAACACAAGTCAGTGTTTACAATATCCCTCCACCCAAGATAAAAAAAGAGATCTAAGAAAGGATTTATTTTTATGCATACATAAAATTCTATAATCTATTTTGCTTGACACAATTAAGTTCTTAAAATGTATTTCACAAACAGTAAAATTAGAATACGTTAACATTTTATGTTGATGGTGATATGAATTACACATGATATATAAAGTACTGCTCCTGAGAAGTTCCTACATAAGATGGTTTAATGTAAATAGCAGATTTAAAAATGTTTGTATATATAAAATTGTCCTGGAAAGAGAGGTGTAGTAGTAGCAATACAGAGTCTGATAACTACAGTAGTTCCCTAAGAGGTTTGTGACTAAGTTAAGAAACGTGTTACAAAATTGCAAGAAAGCTGTTAAACAGGTTTATACTTCCTCTCAGCAGCTAAAGAGAAATGTAGAATTTGTATTAATATTGGTAAGAATCTCATATTTCTACACATTATACTTCAGAAAATTAAGTTCACTTCACTGGGAGGTCCTATCTTAGATGGGCTGAAGGTTAGACACTCACTCATTACCACATGATTCTGATTTGTTGTTATATGGAATTTATGGTGGACACAGCAGACCATTGGGCAGGCCTTTGCTTAAGATTTCAGTTTTTCCCTTGCCAACCATTTGCCGAAGGTCAGTTTTCGTGTAACACTGGTCTGACACCATCTTTGACCTGGCAGTAGGCTGGATTGTGGATAAGGACTTCTTTTATCCATTTGGCACAAACCGTTGTTGAAGGTTTCATAAATTAAAATTACATCAACTATATACAGTGTATAACATAGATTGGATTTATTTTTGGACTCTAAACTCTTGAAATAGGTAAGATTTATTCATAAATAGTAAGGTCACACACTGGACCCTAATTTTGTATTAACTATATGATGCAGAAACGTCACTGTATACCTTACAAATGCTATACACATTGTTAGAGAGTAAATAACAGACTGTACCTACATGAAATTTTGCATTCATTCATCAGTAATCTGTCAGACGACAGGTCCACAGTCTCTTCCAAAACAGTTCCTCCACTTGATGCGATCTAGAGCTTTCACATACATGGTATCTCTGTTTTTGGAAAGAGACTATCCAGGAAAAGTGATAATGTGGTAGTTTTTCCATTTGCTTTCCACATCGCAGTACAACAGCCGTTCAAACCACTCTGGTCACGCCTGTTGCTATATGAACTTGAACCATCTCGAGCATCATTTGCTCTGTGCTTCAAGTCGCTGCTGATGACGCTGCTTCGGGCATCAGTTTTTGGTTTTTGGTGTCTCTCTTTGTCTGATGCCTATCCTTTGACCTGCCCAGCAAGGGAGGCCCTGCCAGTAGCTACGCTACCACTGGTATAGCTCTCAGGGTCCTTGGCATACTCAAACACCCTCACCACGATAAGGTGGAGACACCAACGAGGAGGGAGATTTTACATCCTCACAAAAATGCGTATTAAGTTTACAGTCCTCTGGGATATGATGCCATGTTTGGTATGCACGTACCAAAATTTCAGAAGAACCTGCAGCCTGCATCTTCATGGTACCATGAAGTTGGAAGTAACACTTTCTTCAAAATATTACTGCCTACCTACCGCACTACATGATGTCAAGTCCCAAAATACTGTGATCTTAGAATGAACTTAAAAACTCACTTGGTTTTTGAAAGAAAATGGCAGGCAAAATTGGTCATTTGCCAAATGCAAAGACTTAATTATTAATCAGAATTAATTTACAAAGAAAATGGCTGTAGACTGTTAAATGTATAGATGCAACTACTGGTATTTACTTAAAACATATGCAATAAGCCTAGGCAACTAACACAGTAAGCAACCTACCACTGCACCTCTTCTAAAGGGCAGTTTGAATTAGAGGAATGTTTATATTTCCAAGTAAGGACAAGTACTGTGGGCATAAATTGCCTCTGTATTGACTAGTCTATGCAACTGTCACTACTGTCATTTTATATAGGGTCTCACAAAGACACCAGGCTTTTTCCAGTTAAATGCTTTTGTAATGGAAAAGGTTAAAATTTAAAACAATTTTTTTTGTACATTACAGTAAGGCAGTTATACTATTCTTATGTATAAAACGCAAACATCATTCTGCCATGTGTACATTATCAAGTAGTTCCAAATATCAACTGGAAACAGGAGATGGGAGCTGTAAGCAGCAGCAGAAGGTATGCTGATTGGATATCAAAGTGTCCACCTTTGCCAACAGAAGTTCATAGAGCACATCTGGATAGTAGTATTGTTGAAGTCGTAACTTATTGTTATTCTGTATAGTTTAGTAGCTTAGCATAAGTGTAGCTGTCTTTCTATGGCCTTTTAAGTTAACAGCATGCAAATTTAGTGAATTTGTTATTTTGAAATGTCCCTCAAATGTTATGATATATAGAGTGCATCACAGTAAAATAAGTACATTGTGATCAAGTATGATGTTGATAACTAAGCAATTTGAAATTTCAGTGGGCTTTATGTTAGTTCCATAATGATCTCTTTAATATATGAAAGAATTATAAAATTAATTTTATGTTACTGAAATTGTAATTCACTTTTCATGTTCTACCCACTTAACTGATTTTCATTTCTATGATAGTGGAAAATTGATTCTTTCCATTTCTTGCATAAAAGTCAAATAATTATTTTTAATATTGTAAATTAAGTAAGCAGGCCTTCTGCTCAATAAACTTGGTAATGTCATGTGGGGCCCCCATTTTATGGCAAAAGTGGCATAAAAAGCATATCCTATTTTTGCTATTATGTGGTTCATCTGACTGCATGGTATGTTTTAGATCTCATCTACTGTGATACTGTGGCATCTGTATCATGCATAATATTTTCCAGTATGAATTCAGTATATGTAGGTACTAGAGTTAAATCTGTATACTTCAAATCATTAAATAATTTAATTGCAGTGTATTATGAAGTGACTGTACAAAATGGCTGTAGTAGTCTTTTAATACAGAACATGAGGATTCTGAGATTTTTCTTGCAGTATTTTTCATGAACATTTAGTTCAAACACCAAGAATGGAATAGAGATACAAGTTTTGAACACATTACTATTTTGAAAATGAAAATTGGTATGCAGTACAATTTTGCTCAGCGGAACATCTGTGAGAAATTAGAATTCATAGTCTGAAGGATGTAATGTAAAATATTCAACCTGCTGGAATTTACTGTTAAAAATGAAGCTGTATTCAAATAACCAAATGACTGATAATGAAATATTAAAAGTGAAATTTTGAAATTATCTCAGTTTTCATTTTTAAATAGAAATACTTTGTATAAATTATGTATTTTTATTTGGATGTATAAAGTGTACAATAAATTGAGGAGATACAATTCATCAGTATTTAAACGTCCATTTCTATCCATGCAGAAGTTTCCTTCTATGCAAGCAGTACATCACTTTTAGTCAGACACCTGTATTTT